AAATGTGATTTATCTTCTCTTCCTGAGCATGTCAGCCTCATGTTTTGGTGCAAGTTCTGACAGCAGTGCGGTCTCTTCTCCCCCTGCCTGCCGATCCTTGAGGCCAAACTTAGTTTCATCTTTACCTTTAACTGTTTTTAAAGACTGAGGCCTGGGAATCCTCGTCCTTTAGCTCCTGGGGCCCTCAGCCACAGTCAGGGCAACTCAAATAAACTCCTAGGTGGAGAGAGTAATGTGCAATGATCCTCAGTCTGTCATTACACCCAGCAGAGTTCTGGTCACATGGTAGGTGCAGCAAGTGCTTATTAATTGATTAAGTTACAACCAGGAAAGTAAATTATACAAAATGGATTATCATCCTAAAGAGCATCAGAGCCTCTACGCTCGAGCTTTAGTTAATTTTAAGATTGTGTTCATTAAATGAGGAATACAAATGAATTACAGTGTTTTAAGCATTTAAATGATCAAGTCAGATAACCGTGCAATAAAAAGTTTGTTATTTTATCTAGTCTGTACAAATAAAAACTCCGCTTCTAAACATTTCAGATTCCTTCCATAAAATCTGCAAGTCTTAGCAATTAAGCAATTAACAGTATTAAATGGTAACAGAGCCAGATAGTATGATGTCATCTACACATCTCTCCTTGTCAAAAAACTAGTTCTTACGTTTAGTTAATAGACCTCATTAGCCAAAGAGGATGCCGTAACGTTTCCACACATTCATCAATTCAATAAAGTCTTCCTGGTCACACAGCCCCACTGGTGACCTTGTCTATGCCAACACATCTCCAGTGTTAGCACGCTTTTAGGTCCCTTAAAAATCCTGTTAAATTTTGATTCAGTACTTATATGCTTCCTGATTTAACAAAAGGCCCGAAGCTATGTGACAGCAAAGATTCATTCACCTAACATTCATCCAGGCCCAACCACTGTGTGCCTGGGGCTCAGCGTCTCACACAGTGAAAGTCAAGTTGGAAGCCGCTGCCACAGTCCTTAACAACCTTTACTTGGGGAAATCCACTCCAAGTTTTGACCTTAGTGAATGGCTAAGGCTCAGGCCTCCTGGCTTGGTTGGTGTTGCCCAAAGACACCTTATGATTGTGTGCATCCCTAGAGCACAGGTACAGTCTGCATGCTTGCTGGGCCAGAGAGCATGAATAGGCTCCACAGAGACAATTGTTGCTAACCTTATTTCACAAGTAGTGACTTGTCCAGTTTGCCCTATTTTGTGCATTTGAAGATAATCCCACACTCCACCGAAGGGGAAGATTTCACACGGGACATAAATACCAGGTCTTGGGAGCCTCTATAATTCTCTCTGAGATGACTTAGGGTGGACTTTGAAGTTGTATCTTTCTAACAATTCTCTTTTTTTAAGTTTTTAAAAGTTTTTTATTTTTGTTTTTATTGAAATTTTGTATATTTTATACAGACTATCTGAAACAGTCTTAATAATCCTTTACGCCCATCCCCACCGGATGCAATCTCTACTCATGGAGGGTTGTATTTTAAAAAGGAACATCTGCACAGCCCTCTCCTATGGCTCTCCTCTGCCCTCTCTGTGTCTACACTAACTCCAACCCGGTTTTCTGGAGCTCTTCTTACAGGACACCATCTGTCTTAGTTCGATTTCTATAGGATTCTTCTGTGAACCTTCCTTCACCTTCAATATAAAGTTCCCCAAATGTCTAAATTTCATTCACTGTTGCTGTGACAAAATACCCAGCTTGGGGTAGGGGGTTTACTTTAGATCAAAATTCCAAGTTCCAGAAAATCAGTGCTGGAAAGTCAAGATGGCAGGAAATTAAAGCTGCCATCATGTCCACAGCCGAGAGCAGAGAGAGTGAATTCAAGGGTGCTTTCTGCTCAGTCACTCGCTCCACTCATACACAAGCCTAGGGTGTGGTGCCCCTCAGTGGACCGAGTCCTCCTCCATCCATTAGGGTCATCAAGACAGTCCCCCACAGACATGCCCACAGACCAGCCTGATCTAGACACTCCCTCACTGAGGCTTTCTTCCTGGGTGATTCTAGAATGTATCAAGTTGACAGTTAAAACTACCCATCACACCCTCCTCATGGAAGTTACCAGTGACCTCAATGCTCCTTTCTGAAGTAAATCGCTAAACGCACTCTCCCATCCTAGCACCTCTTTGTGTTTTTTTACATTGTCACCTAACTGATGTCAGGAAGGCTTGTGTCTTTGAATTTTAAGTGTATGTTTCCTTTGTTCAAACCTTGGAACTCAAAATATCCCAAACACATTTCTTTTTCTTTCAAATAACATCCCCCAATCTCTAAGCCCAACTAACTTCTCAGCTCTCATAGGAACCCAGCATATAGCCCCTCCCTGCCCTTAATGGTCAAATGTAAACCCCAGAAGTCACACCTGAGCTATCTCTGTCTCCCCACTGAGGTCCCTACCCTAGTCCACTCCTTGCTCCCTGTTGTTACACAGGTGTCTGCTTGCTTCTGGTTATTAGCTGGATAAGCTAATTTTACTCAACCTATTGCTTTTCCACAATTGGGAATTCCTTTATCCTGTAGAATAAGTTTAGGTACTTTAACATTGCTTATAGAACCCAAAATAATCAGTCAGCCCCTGACTCCACCTCAGTTCCATTCAGATCTATTTCAAGACCTGCTTTCTTTAGTTTAGCTGCCCAGAATCTGGAACAAGATACAAATCTTCCCTTGCATGTCAAGTCTTCTTAACATTTTGTCCTGACCTGGAATACCCTATTTTCTCTTTTTTACCCAGCAAACCTTATCTTAATTCAAATTCAAGTTAAGCATGTGTTTCTTGGACATTTCTTTTGACCTTTAAGACAAGATTTAAGACACACACATATCTACAGAACTGTGTATTTCCCTACTAAATATCATGGTTTTTATTGATCAGATACCAACCTCTAGCAACTATAGACTGAGAAAGGCAGATCAGTAGGAGTTATGTCCAGGTATTTTGAAGCCTGAAACCTATAATTTGAGGTGACCTTTTGTGCTGGGTACTTTTACACAACTTACAACACAGCCTACTGTCTAGGAAGAGACTCTCAGTTGAGGAATTATCTCGATCAGGTTGACCTGTGCGCATGTCAGTGGGGCATTTTCTTGGTTGTTAATTGCTATAGGAACACTCGGCCCACTGTGAGCAGCAGAATCCCCTAGGCTGGACCCTGAAGTACGTAAGAAAGCTCACTGAGTGGGTTAGCAGGCAGCGGCAGCCACATTCCTTTCTGTTATTGTGTGGACCTTATGAGACTAGCTGTTTGGAGTCCATACCTTGACTTCCCCTCAATGACAGACTGTAACCCGTGATTACAAACCAAACAGGCCATCTTTCCCTCAGTCGCCTTTTGTAATGTCATTTGTCTCAGCAACAGAGATGCAGTTAGAAAACTCTCTTGAGAATAAAAATACAAAAGTTACAGAAGTATTTTTACTTATGAGAAGATATCACAGCTAAGTATAAAATCGGGGAAACATGTTAAAGTAGGTATATGGCATGAACATACTGCTAGGGGCCTTTCCTGAAGCCTTCAACAAGAGAGTCACATTATTACCAATAAACCACCATTGATGTTAGGTTTTTTTCCCATGTTCAATGTCTAGTAACTAGAACAGCACTAACCACACATGGCAGTCACTCGATAAATATTTTTAAATGAACTATCTTGCTATTTTTTATGCATGCATGTTTGAACAGGATCTTTTAATGAACTAATTTTGGCTTGTTTAATTTTGGGGAACAAATTCTCAGACTGGACATAAACTCTAGATTCTCCTGCCCCAGCTTCCTGTGATTACAGATATGCACTACAACACCTTGGCCTTACAAATTATGTTTCTAAAAAGAGCACATATTAAAAATTGTTCTTGTAGTCATCACTTTCAATTGTTTGCTATGCCATGTTCCAAATGGATAAGTAATGTATGCAATTATTTGTATCATTAGCATATGTCTATCCTCTATGCAAAAGGCATATTCTGTACCTTTATGAAGTGAATATTTCTCGATTTGCATAAATAATATACAAAATTGGGGACTAGAGAGATGCCTCAGTGATTAAGAGCACTGGATGTTCTTGCAGAGGAACTATGTTTGTTTTCCAGCGACCATCCATAACTCCAGTTCCATAGGATCTGATACCCTCTTCTGGTCTCTGCAGGCACTGTATGCACATGGTCCACTTACATGTGCAGGCAAAACACTCATATGTATAAAATAAAATAAGTCCCCAAAACAAAAAAAAATAGTACACTAAATAATCTACGGATTCTTCTATATGTGTCTACGTCCGTATAGACTGCAAACAAGAAAGCCAAGATTAATTTTTGAATTCTATAGATCTTAGAAGATAAAATTGGGATCACTCTATTTTTGTTCTCTTTTTAATATACTTTCAACATTTAACACCAGAAAATAAAGATTTCAATATTGTATGTAATGTAAAACACACACACACACACACACACACACACACAATGTTTTCTCTACTATGAATTTGTCCACAAGGTGTTATAGAGTTTCTTTGAGTCGAGGCCACAACAGAGCATTCAGAAGGTACACTTAGGTTCTAAATCTTTGGTGTTTAGCCCATTGAAATAAAAGTAAGTTTGGTTAAGTTCCTTTTAAAATGCTGTAATGTTGGCAAAGAGTTGCTATGCTCATATCAAGACTGCGGTGGGGTGTGTGTGTGTGTGTGTGTGTGTGTGTGTGTGACAGAGTGCAGCCCTCTGATTCCTGCACCCCCATCCCCATTTTCCTAAATACATCAAGAGCAAAGGATGAGGTTTCTGCCTTAATTGCTTGCTCCTTTTATTCACGTTCCTCTCCCAGCCAGGACTGTGCAGAGTGTTACTCAAAGCTGCACAATGGAGCTTTTCATTAGACACAGCACACAAAAGCAGGCTTTTGGAAAGAGTGAATGCATGAGTTTAATTTGCAGGTGGAGAGGAGATAAAAGGTGCTGACGCCTCTATTATTCTCTTACTTAGGTGACCCTTACCCTGTTCAGCTGATCCCAACCACTATGGCAGCTGCTGCAGCAGCAACACCAGGCCTAGGCCCAATCCAACTGCAGGTAAGTCTGGAGACAATGCAATGCCAGGGACCCAGGGGTTAAGTAAACGCAGAAGGCAGCTATGATCCCATTAAAGCAAAATACAGCTGGGGGGCTGATACTCCTCCAGCATTTTGATTTTACGTTTATTTATAGTGATCCTCGACCCAAACACTATTTTCGATTTTGGTTTTGTGTTCTGTACTAAGGATCACGTCTATGTTTTTTCCATTGCCTCACAAAAATGAGCTTTAATTTTTTGTTTGTTTGTTTGTTTTTAATTGGTAGATGTCACAATTTTGTCACAGAGTGGTCCCCATTCACAACAAACAAAGATATTTAAACACATAGGATCCAAGATAACAGAAGCATAATTGAACTTAAAATTGTTGATGATACCTTGTGTTATTCAAGTACCCACAATCCTTTTATGCTCCTTGCTAGTGACAAGGAAGGGAATATAAGGCAAAGTAGACCAAAGTTAGCAGGTGCCTAAGTAAGCAAAACTTTACCTGACGTCCTAATTAAGACCTTTTTAGCCCTGCAAATTGTATATTCCCTATGTATCCCAGAAAGTCAATAACGTTACCAGATGTCCAAGTGATTTCAGAAGTTATGTCTCTAAGACTGAAAAGAAAATCAATACAGTTATAGTAAAGGTAGCTTTTACTATCTAAATCTCTGAATCAGTGCCCCATAAAATTCCATACATTCCATTATTGAGGGATTTTTAATTATGCAATTAATGGAAACAGATGATAACCTAATCCTAGGTTCCATCTCCTTTCAAAAGAAGTTTTATAGACCCCTTAGTGTGAGAGACACTGCATGCAAAGCCCGATATGTAGGAATTGCATTTCATAAAATTCAGTTGTATGCATGAAAGTGCTTTGTGATGGTAGATGGTCTTAGTCTTTAAAGAAGATACAGTTTCACATTGAACCTTCAAGGGCCAGGTACATCTGGTGAGCATGTGGCTTTATCAAAAGACCTGTGGGCTTCTGAGAGACCAAAGGAGTTTCACAAGATGACAAACATGCTCCAAACACTGACATACACTGTGTTCTGCAGAGACTGGTGTACTCATTCCTAGCCTAACATTCCTATGAGAAACCCCACGAGTGTCTGTTTCTTTAAGATGGAAGTGCTTTGGGAAGTGCAGGAGGCCACAGAGACAATAAAATGAACATAACATTTGTTATCCTTTGAAATGGCTTCTGGGAAATAACAATAGAAAAGCGGTTGTGATAAGAAAAAAAGTGAAATTAGAAGAAAGGACACTTTCAACCACAGAGTTGAACGTAGAAACAAAGTTTTGAGATTTAGGATGACACTTTTGATGTTTGCTGTTGCCCTGGGGTTCCTGGCGAGGAGGGGTGAGCACAGGCCTCTGCTTCTTTGTAGGACTTCTGTAGAAAGTTCCAAGCTTCAGTTTTAAGTTTCCTTTCCTGTAACAATGCTCTTAGAGTACTTGGTACAAATTAAGTTTCATTTCCATGATGATAATGCATTTTCCGTTTTTTCTTAATATTTAAAGAATGAATTTCTTTAAGAGAAAACAAGGAAAACCTTTGGCTCAATGCCTGTGCGCTTCTGCTATACACATAATTTAATCTGAAAGTGGATAAAGTTCTCTTACTCCTTTTGTCTTGCTAAGACAAGGTTAACCTTGAATTTGCAATCCCTCCTACCTCAGCTTCTAAAGCTCTATAGGTGTGTACATTCACAACGACCTTTGAAAGCTTTCCATGGAAGTGGTTTTGTGCCATTAAAATCCAGATTTTAACTACACTGTAACATAACAAGAACATAAAAACATCTTCACAGAAAGCCACAGCTGCTATTAAAGCAGTCACATAGATACATAATGCATACACACTTTTTTTTTTTTGTAAAAGAAAGCTGATGTTCACATGCAGACAAATTCCAAACTTTTGCCATTTAAGAGATCCAGTTGTGTTGAGCAGTTTCCATCCTCCTTATTCCAGTGTCTGTGTATGCCTCAGATGGTGTTCACAGGACCCTGAGCTTGACGCCAACCTGCTCCATGTCTGCACATTTCCCTATGATGTGCTTCTCCTACTGAAACCCTCCCCAGATGAGGCTTCCATCCTCCTTATTCCAGTGTCTGTGTATGCCTCAGACGGTGTTCACAGGACCCTGAGCTTGACGCCAACCTGCTCCATGGCTGCACATTTCCCTATGATGTGCTTCTCCTACTGAAACCCTCCCCAGATGAGTGAGGGAGAAGCCATCTACAAAGGCTAACCAGAAAGTATGACCTTAACCCTTAAACAAAATCCACCCCAATCTGGAAAGCTTCATTTTAGGGGCATGTAACACAGGACCCAGTTTTAATGTTTTCGCACACTCCGCTTTTAATCCTGTCAAGTCTCTATTTTCTGTCTCTTAGTAATGACGTTAGTAAACCCCATTACTTCCAGGTATTAAGATTCAGTTCTGCTGGAAACTTTGTCCTTATACTCAGTTCAAATCCCTGGTCCATTGTTAGGCCAGAACCCCAATTCTAGAGCCCACAGGTAAAGAGAGGGGCTGTTTACCCTTTCCTGTCTTAAACTCCCACATAACACCCATGCAGATGGCGTGTTGACAAACTTGGAGATGGTGTATGTGTTCTTGGGTGTTGATCAGATTTCCATAGCACACTAAGCTGGCTGTGGGTAGACCTACCAACAAATGCTTCCCACCTTTTCTGTGCCTGGGACATCCCCACTGCTGGCCACCGGCTTGGGTAGCAGGAGTTGTTGCCCTTCAGTCCTGCTCAGCGCTCCTCCACAGACAGCTTGGACATCCTCCACTAAGATCCTCTGTGTTCTCTAAGAGCTGGGAAGTCACCACATCTTGCAGCAAGCCCCTCACTCTTCTAAATCAACCCACCCCAGGTTAAGAAAACTGCCAAAGAGAACACAGCCCTCTCTGCAGTTCTCCCACCCCAGACTGCCCACTGTCCTATTTGCTTCAGAATATTTATCATGTTTTTAGTAGCTCTTAGTCAGTCTTAGTAAGTCTTAGTAGTCCTTAGGCTTTTAGCTCAACAGTCAAGTAGATGAGAAAGAGCAGGAAAGTTCCTTCTCTTCTTCTGGCCTCTCCAGCTTTTGTGAATCTGAGTCTTTACTTGGAAAGGGGGAGCGGGTAGAAAAGCATCTATGTTAAAGAACCAAGCCCTCTCAAAGTCATAGGGAAGCCTTTACTTATTCACCCCGTTCCAGAACTAGCTCACGTGTACTGTGGTGATGGGAAGCTGGAAACTCACGGAAGATCGAGAAACAGGCAGAGGCGACAGGCCAATGAGCAATGATTTGGAAGCCAGGAAGGTCAGGCCTTCTCAAGGGGAGCTGGTGGTGTGGGTGCCGCCTGGGACCAATTGTTGGTGTCTTCCTTTAGAAACAGAGTTTGCTTTAACAGTATTGTTTGCTTTTTTTTCTTTTTTTTTTTTTCCTTTGGTCTTTTTGAGACAGGGTCTCCCTGTAGCCCCAGCTGTCGTGGAACTCACTATGTAGACCAGGCTGGCCTTGAACTCACAGAGATCTGCCTGCCTCTGGCTCCCAAGTGCTGGGATTAAAGGCGTGTGCCACCATGCCCAGCTGCTTTGTTTTCTATTGTTTGCTTGTTTGCTTTTTTTTCTTTTTTTTTTTTTCCTTTGGTCTTTTTGAGACGGGGTCTCCCTGTAGCCCCAGCTGTCGTGGAACTCACTATGTAGACCAGGCTGGCCTTGAACTCACAGAGATCTGCCTGCCTCTGGCTCCCAAGTGCTGGGATTAAAGGCGTGTGCCACCATGCCCAGCTGCTTTGTTTTCTATTGTTTGATCTATTCCTGCTTGTCTTTGATGGGGAGTGGCCAGCCCAGAGGTCACCTCCAAAGGCAGCAGTAGGGACTCTAGGCAGAGAGGAAACTATTTGGATCCATGGTCCTCCAGCGGTTGAGGGAACACTGTGCGGGGAGGGAGTGCAGAGCAATCCTAAACAGAAATGGAACTGTTTCCCTCTCCTTGGGCTCAAATGTGATAATTTTAACTTATATAAAGTACAGCTAATGTTACTGGTTACTGGTGATGAGAGTCACAGAATACTTTTGTAGGTTAGGGTCCCTGGTAAGGGTTTTCAAGGATTACCGCATTTAATTCTTGTCCCCCGACTTAATATTGTGTATTAGTATCTCCCATTGACAGGGAAGCTGGAACACAGGGTCCAAATTCCATGGTTTTTGAATACTTGGACTTGGTTTCCAAATGTGTAACTGTGGGAGGCATTGTTCCTCTTAAGATGTTTTTCGAGTAACTGACTAATCAACTTGTAGCAATAATACTGATTAATTGGTATTACTACAAATACTGTGCACTTTCTAGTACTGAAATGAACAGCTGGAATGGATGTGACCACCGTCTTCGTCAGACTCTGAACTCTGCATCTCATGCCTCTTACAAAGATGTGTGCTTAAATGCTTCTTTCTGACCGCCTAGTTCTAATGAAGAATGCTATAAGTCTTTCTCCTTATGGTTGGCTTTATTTGTCTACGCTGTGTGTTTTCTTTTGAAATAACTGTGCATCTGATTCTTCACTTTCAGATAATATTATGATAAGAGAAACTGGAATCTTAATTAAAGAGAGAATAGAAACAAATATTTTTTTAAATAGCAGCAAAATGGCATGTTGTAAACAAAGCAACTTTTTATTACTTAACTGCTATTTTATGACCCTGGCAATGCTTACCACGTAATAAAAAGTTGATTTCACTATGTATTTTTAGGATCAGTTAAAATATTTTAAACATTGTATACAGAACTTTTATTTTCCTTTTGCAAGAGAAGTGATTGACTCTCAATTATTCATATAATAAAATGAACATGTTGTGCCAAATACTATTTTACTTACTTGTTTTAGAACAAATCCCTCTTTGTCTCTGACGCCTCTGAAGCTTTTCTGGGTTCCTGCGTTTGGTTTATAGAGAGGGTGGACTCAGTCCTAAGTGGACGTCCCCATTCACTGTCTTTCCTCTGGTC